TCTGATATACAGGATGTATTTTCATTGTTACAAACGGAAGATAATTAAAGCACAGTGATTAATCACAAAACAATATGTAATTATATATTGTGAAATGTTTATGTGTTTTCCGATAGTCTTAGGCGAGCTGTGTGAAAGGGTCGTTCAACCCCCAAAGGGGTCTCGACCCACAGGTTGAGAACCGCTGGGCTAACGGGTCACATCATGACTATCAGTCTGCACCACCCTGAGGCCTGGAGAACTATGTGGTGCCCGACCGCTCTGAAAGAGATCACATGGGAGGACCTGGAGGGAGTGGGACAAGAAAGTGGAACAAAGCTCAAACCATCTGAGTCCAGACTTGCTGATGGTTTAAAGTTCGGCAGAACCCCTGAGAGTACAGCCTCTGCTCACCCTCCAGTCCAGGACCGAACTTGCCCCGTCGTTTAATTTTCAGCCCCGAGAACAGACAGGTCTGCAAGAGGAACATTTGGTGATGGACTGATTCAGAAGGGCTCCACAGGCGGTGGGACGGAAACAGGAGACAGGGAGGAAGTGGGCGAGCTGATATTACGTGGGGGGGACTGCAGGCAACGAGCTGACACCAAATGTTTTCTTGAGGTGTTCACTAGAAAACTGAAGTGCTCTAACCCTCAGCCAACTCTCAGTGGCACGAAAGGGGACTCTGTGAGGCACAGCTGGGCTCTACCACCATGGGCCCACCAGCGTCCCTGTGGACTGGGTGACCACTGGTTTCTTGAGTACAGAAAAACTTTTTTTTTTTTTTGAGGAGTGTATATGTCTTAGTTCCAATGACCTGCTTTGTAGGGCTGCAGACCTCCCTCTGCCCTCTCGTGGGCAGTGGACCCCAATGCCCCAGACTTCTGAGAGGCACAGATCACCCGCCCCGCCTGGTGGTCCTTGATGTTCTTGTGGATTCAGCTCGGACTTTCCAACCATGGAAAACCACTTCTCATTCCGGTGCGCCCGGGTAAGAGGCTCCAGGTCCCCCAGACTCTGAAGCCAAGGGTCCTGATACTCCCCAGCTTGGGAAGTCAGCCAGCCTTAAGGCCTGGCCTGCAGAGCTCATAGACAGCTGCTCACTCACCTGACACTTCTCATGACCAAAAGGAGGAACCGGTTCAAAGGGGGGCTTCACAGCTCGTAAGGAGCCCGGGTGGCACAAGGTTAAGTGCTCGGCTGCAAAGGGAAACCAGAGGTCCGGAGTCTGCAGGAGGAAGCGCCAGCCCTGTGGGACAGCGGCACTGTCCTATGCAGTCACCCTGGCCATGCGGTGGATCTACTTGCTGGGGGTGGGCTTGGTTTTGCTCTTAGTAGACACCCAGAGATGCCGGCAGATGCCAATACTGATGTCCTTCATCCCCTGGGACCAGGGGGAGGCTCTTCTTTCCAGAAAAAGGCCCGCTCAGAGCCAAGGGAGGGAAGGCAGGACTAAAGCTGCAGCCTTAACAAACCCCAAGAAGCCAGCACCGTTAGGCATGCGGTGTGGTTGGGAACTGGGTTGGGAACATAATGCCAGGGTTTCAGCCTCAAGATTACAGTCCAGTTAAAACCCCAAACCCAAATTGTTGTGGCAGTGGGTGGACTGCCACACCTTCCTCCTGTGGAGCAGCTGCTGGGTTCAAACCACG